ATGCGGTGGATGTGGCACGTGGGCTGTACCGTCGCTGTAATTCGCCTGCACATGTATCCATCCTGTGTTGCCGCATGTTGGGCAGCGTTTGTGATTGATAGTTCATGTCTGATTGTTTGGTCTGAATGGTAACAGGCCGCTCACTCATCAAATACTACCACTACGACTACTGGCTTCAATGGATTGCCAGTCGTTGTTGGGGGGTACAGTCTTCGTGGAGATTATAGGCTGAAAAAATGATTCCATCTAGTGTGTTATGAACAATAGTCCAGCCACTGCTGTGTACGCACAGTATGAATGTTCGTTCCTATGCATAGGGATGATGTGCATGATGAAGGAGTGTCAGTCGGCTCTGAATCAATCGTGGCCTCCATACCCTTGTCTCCAGGTCTTATTGCTTCCGGATTACACTTGATATGGGGTGCGTGGATGGAACTGTGAGTGGGGCGGTGCAAACCACTTGTGGTTCCCTGTATGTGCAAGTGTCCTGTGGTTCTTTGAAATCACATTAGCAGTTTAATCCGGAAATGGATGTCGTCAATCATATCACAGAGGTACGTTACAGAAAAATCTGTTCCTTTTTTGAAACATACAATCATTGAGGAAACGTATAAATCCACGAACACTTGAGTTCATTAGAATGGATGTCTGTCAGAGTCGTACGATTTCGAATTGCTTCGTAAACTACATGATTGGGATGATAATAAACGACTGCTCTGGTTAAGCATTTGTTACGTGTATTGGCAGATGAGCTACAAAGAGAAACAATACACGGACAATGTAATTATTTTGAAGTATAATTCAACCTTTTAGAAAAGCATCGTTCGCATCTCAACAGTTTTAGCTATCGCTGCAATAGTAGACTGAACGAAATCCAGTTCCAACAAAACCTCCACCACTATCTTCAGACAGCTTCGAGACCTTGTGATCAGAAAACCGAAGCAGTTAGCGTTTGTATAAGTAGGAACCTGTGACCAATCATGATTGCAGTCACTTGCTGAGACCGTGGGTAATCCAACTAATAGCAAGATATAAGGTGCACAGGGATGCAGTGCGTCATTGATGGTTGGTCAACCGAAATATGTACTTTACAGTGCAGAGGGCTTAAAGCTTAAAGCGCAATAGCGAAAATGCACAACAATGAGAAGGGAGAAAAACAGAGAAGCACAGATGTGTTCCCCAACACTGGTAAGGGTATTCTAGTGTGACGGATCTAGGCACAATGATTCGCGTCCAAAAATTAATAATAATAATAATAAACAGTGAAGAAACTGGAAGTGAAAAGAATAAGAAGACACGGACAATTTAAGATGAAAACCAGTTGTTGGACGGTAGGCTGACGAGCAAAAGCAATAAACGATTAAAAGACGACGCCGGGATAGTGATTATGTAAGATGGAGAAGCATCGATACTGAAGGGTATTTTTAGGCCAGTGGTCTACGAGAAAGGATTCGTAATACGGCGGCCCGATCAATGTTGTCAGCAAATTTATTCATATAAGCAGAGGGTGAGCAAGTTGGAGCTGTACCAAGCTAAAAACAACATCAGCAAACGATAAATACTGGGGTAAACAGACAATAAACGTTCGAAGTGACAGTCAGTGGAGAGTCAAGTTCAGCAGATAAGAGTGTGGCGACGGACGGTATCTACCTGAAGATTAACCGGCAGATATTATTGTGATGGCGGCTGAAAGCTGGGGTGAAGGGAATAGTCCGCCATAATGCGTACAGAACCTTAAAATTGAGAATAATACGCTTGTGTGCTGAGCTTGTCTTTCTCTTGACTCGGTTGGGAGACAATGGTCGCAATCGCCTACCGGATGAGTCAGTCGAGACCTAGATTAGAGAAGTGAAAGTTCTGGCGCGAAGGTGCAATTTCCGTAACCGTATGCGGGACTCCCTAGTACGTGACCGAATCGGCATCGGAAATGACGACCCCACTCGAAGCCTTCCGAAACAGAGAAAACTGTCCCTAAATCAGTGCATGGACATCTGCCTTAGCAAAGCAACAACGTCAAAACAGCTCCAGAATTTGCGGGTGAGCACGATAGGAGTTTGTGTAGTATCGAAGACCAAGGAAGCCCCATGCCTGCCATCAGAGGGGCAGGAGCCCAGCTGTCAGTTTTGTGGTCGGAATTATCCAAGGCGAAAGGAGAATTGTCCAGCTTGGAACAAGACCTGGATGAAGTGTAGAAAGAAAAACCATTTCGTTCGCTGTTGCAGATCGGCCAATGTCAGCGCGATAGACAGGAAAAGTCAACACAACACACAGGAGCCCTCAATAAACAACATATATCATTTTGGAGGACAGAAGTGCATTTTTGCTACACTGTTAATTCAAGGAGGTCCAGTCGCTTTCAGCTCGATTCGAAAGCCACCGTCAACATACTGCCCGAGAGATAGTGTGCGGGAGCAAAATGCATTTAAGCACGGAGTTGTCTCAAAATGTAGAACGACTCGGGATTAAAACCGAAAGGGAACGCTATCGTGATCGCTGTCAACCCGAAGAACAGTACGGAACAAAACCCTGAATTGCAGATTGTGCCAGGAGATCTTATGCCCATTTTGAGCGTTGATTTCATACAGCGCCTTGCTTTTGTTTCATTTAACCACGATCGTTTTGTTTACTCGTGTCATGCTGCTGCAGATATTGTTTATCTGTATTTAGCCGTGTTCGATGGGATTACTGGGAAATTCGAGGGATGCGCCCATTTATCGTTAAACGAATCTGCTAGGCAAGAAGCTCTGCCAGCTAGAAAGGTGCTCATAGCATTGCGCGAAGAATTGCAGCGTCTGTCCAGTTTGGGCGTCGTAGCGAAGGTCGATGAACTGACAGATTGGGTAAGCTAAATGGCAATGGTCACTAAGAAATCATGAACGCAGTGGTTCCATCGAAGAAAAGCAACACAAAGAAAACATCGGTGGTCAAGGAAGCTTAGATAGTTGTCGTTTTAAATACAATGGCAATATCCCTGAGCTATACGATAACACAGGACGCGATGCAGCTTTCCCCACCAAAACAATTAGCCCATATTAAGCTGTTTGCAAGGGCGATGGAGGTTTGAAAAGTCACTGGGCCTAATAAGCAGAAACGGTAACCATAGTGATCCATACTCCGCAGCCGATACAACTGCTCAGATGAGAGAGACTGTTCATCATTTCTAGTGTGTTTGGTAATCGCCAGAACGAGGCAACTATACACGGTGCTGTAACATCAGCTTGAAAATTTAAGACGCCAAACAGATACCAAAGTGTGCATGGACCTGCAACAGTCTTTGTTGAGAAGCGCGTATGTGACCGTATCAGTTCGGAAGTTGACGACAGCTTTACATCTCGTACCACTTGGCTGCTCGCGAAGGAGTTTCAAATCTTATGAGAACAAACGTGGAAAGGGGACGTTCCAAAGTGAGAATGGAATGAGAAAAAGAGCTAACTGAAAGCCAGGATGTCTGTGTGCGATAACACTGGATATGGGAACAAGTTCATTAGTGTCCATAAAATCTGGGCGGAATGACCCAGCATCCCGCGTCCAACTATCTATAACTGGGTCTGATGATTTCGACATTTACATTAAGTGCCAAAATGCGTCAAAACATTTTTCGTCTTCCTATCACAATCACCACCTTTCTAGTAGCCTAGATTTATCGAAGGCAGGTGGTAGAATGAAGATAGCGAATCCACGGAAAAATTACTGGGGACTATAGTGCCAACTGCAAAAGTTCGGCAGTTATAGTGGTTGGTATCAGTTACCTTGATGATTGTTCATATGCAGTTACTTTAGAGGTTGCAGGGGTGCTTAAAAGGCTAAAAACAAAATTTCGTGGCAATTAAAGTTACTAATGTCAACAAAGTTAGGGAAAACTAACCGAGGTTTGGTTACGTCAAAGGTTCTTGCCGTGGCAGAGCGGAAGCTAAAGTGCAAACCAGGAAGATGTTTCAAGAAACAAAAGTCGTTTGTAAACATAATCACTTTTTGTTGCCTTTTAAGTCGTCGATATGGAGGCAACAAGATCAACGCTTACTAGTTTGAATATCTGAAAAGTAAACAACGGTACCAGGATGAAGGCAAACAAGCGGCTACTAGACAACCACAGAAGAGAGTGATAGGGTTAAAACACCCCGGAGTATCCTTCCGGAAGTCAGCGTCGTGGAGAGATAGGATCTAAAAGTGATGTGGCGGTACGTGTACCACTTCAACCAACTGAGCTATACAGAGTGAGGTACCAGGGAGCACCTGAGAGCTATTGCTACCAGAATGGTCAAACGAATGGTCAGACAAACTCGGTTGAAAACTGGGTGGCATGAACTTCTGCTAAACCGGATATCCGATATCCACCGCTGCTTTGTGGATAGGTTTTTAAGCTATAGGCTTCGGCTTAGGAGCCTAATTGTTCTTTTGCATAAGTTCGGGCATCCTGCCAATATCCCGGCCCACATACAATCATGATCATTTCGCCAGACTACAACCATACGGTGATTAGGATGAAAACGTAAGACACAAATCATTATGTCTGGTTACGTGTCCCGTAAACCCATGACGGTTCAGTTTTGGCGGGATTCGCCAAGCTGCGTAAACTGGTTGCAAACGTTAACTCAGTAGTCAAGGTGACATCATCAGTTATTGGTTACGTGGCAGCTAGTGAAAGGCGAATCCGGACAAGGGTCCATCCTCGTTTTTTCACTGAGATAAGGAACAGAAGTGTGTACTCAAAAAACCAAATAGCGCAAACGCAAATTATTTGACTGATCGCACTCTAAGGTTTTGCTACAAAGTGCACGAAGAATCGGATTCGTAGGTCCTATAGATTGCGGGTGGAACTATAACTCGGCACAAAATAAGTAAAGCGTTTGATGAAGCATAGATCGTTGAAAAGTAAAAACGGCTGGGAAATCTAGTAGGCTGCTAAAATTAGCAGTAATCAGTAAGTGGTGAAATGTGGGTAAAAAGTAAACCGAACACGGGAAATTCATGAGGACGGAGAAATGAAAAGGTATGCTAACCTTGTCATTTAGGATGAAACCCGCGACGTAAGTTAGAGCGACCATCAAGTAACAGGCGGATAAAAATATAATTGGTCTTTCCGGATACTGGAAGCGTGGCATGTCGATGAGAAAAGTCAGGACTGTGAACAGCGTGGATGCTGCACATAAACAACTCCAGAGACCAATCCATAATCTGGAGAAGCGTCTAGATGACGGGTCGTTGAATAAGAAATCATTGCATGGTATTCCACAGTCCGGAATGACCTGCCCGCCGCCCATACGAATGCGGAATTCGAAGCTAGGAGGAACCTGATAAAAGTATATTGGTGTGCACTATAACAAACCCGCATGTGAACTGGGCAAGTGAACGACGGATCCTTTGGAGGCTGCTCTGTTTTATTCTCCGATATGCACAACGAATCCTCGGGAAACCGGGCGCAGTCCATAACAGGAGGCCACTAAAAGGAATAAAAGTGAATTAAACTGTCTTACCTCATAATTAAATTCGCGCATCACTGGCTCGCAAACGCGTTTGTTTTGTTCACATAAAGAGCGGCATGGCGGCAATGGCTTTTTAAGGCCAGTGCAAACCGGGAAATAAAGCGAACAGAGGAATAGCTTCAATGAATGGCTACATCTGATATTCACCAAAGGTGCGAATTGGCTAATCTCTTGTCCCGCTTCCTCTTGAGTCGACTGGCCCATATCATTCGGAAAAATAGTGATATTATAAGGTAAGTCTTGACAGTCCTTAATTCGAATCGGTTCACAGTTGGGCGACTCCGCATATATATCCTCCAAACCACTTTGCATATATGCATTGTTAGTCTTTGATAGAGGGACTGACAGCAGCAGAAGTAAGCACACTAAGTTTAACTGCCTGAGGCGAACGAACGTGAAACCCATCGCCGACAGTAAGCCGCGTGTATTAAGCATCCGGCCCGAAAATTCCGTGTCAAATGCGTATGTAGACCGCGATACACCTGGGATGGCTGAAATACGAAGCAAATAAGTCGTAGGAGGTTGGACAGTTGAAGCTCGAGTGGGACTAGAACGTTAGGAAAATATCGTGTCTGCTCCTTCCTCAGTGAGTCGATGAATCAGGGATAGCCAAAATGTTCTGAATTCTTGGCGCAGCTAAGACAGAATACCTTGTCAATATCCCGCTCAACAAATAATTGTCCACGCATCCGGCGTTAACAACCCAAGCTGTTCCGGTGACAAATATGAGAAGGAAAATCAAAAAGAATATGGAGTTCCGTTTAACGGATAAGGTGAAGGCTTGCAGAGGGGTGAAAAATTAGGTTTAAAGAGGAGTCAGTGAGGAGAAGAGGTGTACTTGATATTGCCAATTCAGGGAATCTAGCTGGGTTTCAAAACTTTTACTGTGGATGCGAAATCAAGGACACCGGAAGTGAGTTAAGCGTTTGACAACGCCACGCGATAGATGAGCATCCGCCCCAACCCGATCGGAGCTCGGATTGTGCAGCTCTATGGAGTAGCCGCAAATATTAGACAACTTAGTGGGAGTAAATAGCAAGAAGAGGACTGACCATACCCGTGAGAATAAAATAGGCAAGAAACAAGTCGCAGCGAATACTCCGATAATGCATTGAGTGCATTCCCGCTAAATAGACGCTCGGGATATAACTGTCTTCGTAACCCCTGAATTGATTAAGTACCGAATCACAACACCCTTATGATTTCTATGTTGTCCTGGACAGGGAATGGTGGACAAGTCTTGAGGCAATACTCCAGACAGGGGCGTATGAGAGTTGAACAAACATATGAGCTGTTAAGGCCCTGAAAGAACGTTGGATAAACTATAAGATCCAAAACCCTTTGCTAGCCGCATCCTCCTAATTGTCTCCAATGTGGTGAAACATTGGACCAAAGCTAGATCAACCTGATGAGTCAAGTGAGAAATTTCGATCCCATCGAGTACGCAACTCGTGGAGGAATCAGCCGCTTCCATGCGAGGCACTGAACCCATTGCCCGGTTAATGAGCAACAACCACAAGACAGATCATTCACATAGTCTGTCCAGAGCTTGTCGAGAAGTCTCAAGACGTCCAGAGATATCCACAATATTCCAGAGTTTTAAGTCATCAGTAAATAAAAGCGATGGCACTTCAAGCTTCTCAGGCAAGTGCTTTACGTAAACTGTGAACAGCAGCATCTCCAAGACAGAATCCTGCGGGAGGCCGCTAAGAACGGTTTGTCCGAACGAAAGACTACATCCAATGCGTACACAATGTTTCCGTTTATCTAGGAAAGCTGCCACCCATTGAAGAGCGTGACCAGATATTCCATAAGACCACAACATTAGTGAAAGCTGAGGATGGGGAAGTGCCAAAGGCCTTGGAGAAGTCAACAAAAAGCACACCCAGCCCTCATGAGTTACCAGTAAGTTCATTAGACACGGAAATCCTTTGCGAAGCTCATGTTGCGCAAAACTGAACAAGTTAAATTTATTCAAGTGGTTCTTTCCAGAATCACTTACACATTTAATAACCACGCCAGTCCAGCTGATAGGCCTGTAATTGGCCGGTCATTGTTCCTGCACTTGAAAACATGGCAGGTTACAGCTCCCTTCGTTTCAGGCTATAAGACGCAGCGGTCGAGGGACATCAGAAACACGTAAGGGGTCCAATAACTTCCGCTGCCTACTCGTGTAGTGGTCTATGATGGACAAAATCTAGCTAGGATCAATTAGCTGGTTCACCTCCATCAATAACCCGAGAACTTGAGAGTCCACCATACTAATTTCGTCCAGGCAAGTCATCAGTCTTGTGATTAGTTCTATGTACAGTGGACAAAGAAGTATGAGTACTGCTCATCAGGTACACACGTCTTATCACAGTCTTCATGGGCATGGCCAGCATAACAGAAAAGTTCCGCCGGAGTGATTGCTGGAGCGCCCTGTGGAACCATTATATGGCCCCGGCAATTAGAGACATTTGAAACAAATTACGGTAAACCAGAAAAGGTTTTCCCAGCGCAATCTAAAGATGTACCGTGAATGCATTTCTTCTGGGTGCAAATACTGTCACCAATAATCGGAAAACGTTTCCAAAATTGTAATTATGCTATACTAAGGCTGTAAAGTCAAACCGACAACTCTGTGAGTGACAGAAAATTGTCCCAAATGCGGCCAAACTGACGGCTCCAATCGTCATTCTCCCTGAGAGCACTATCGGATGGTCAACAGTCCAAGTTTCGTCCGCTTCCAGATTGAAATCGGTGCGTTCAGTTCAACCGAACAACTATGACCCGAGCACCGAAATGCGGTGGATCTAGTTGCCACAACTCATACCGCAAGAATAACAATAAATAACAATATAGGGCAGTGGCTTTGGGTGCGAATAGAATGTGGAGAAAATAGAAGCGTTAGGTTAATCAGAATGGAAAGAAAATTAACATCCAGATGAAGGAAGCCGAATGCAGGA